GTCAGACGATACGATTATCAAATCGATCATCGACTTCTGTGCACAAGCTTCCTGGTACCAGGTGTACTGACGCACTCTTCGATGCTAGAAGGTGTTCATAATTGACAATCCGTTGTTTGTACGAAACCCGCAACGTCATGCCGTTATCGTTGAGGTCGCTAGGGCCGTTGCTACCACTCAAGCTGTTCCATTTTTCAGTGTCTACTCCGAAGTAAGCATTAAAACCGTTCATTTAAATGATGGACTCTGTAATAAGCACTTCTACGGAGCACACTCCACTTCCTCAAGGAACGAGTTATATTCTCCCTCGAAATTGGGCATAGAGTTCTATAACAAGGTTATCGCTTTAGCCTGATATAACTTCCAGTCGGAGGATTGCTACCCTTCCGCTGACTGGCTTCCAGTCAATGATTCTATCTGCGAGGTTGGATTCTACCAGAATACCAGCACCGGCCTGAGCGCTCGTCGTGATATCGACACCTGAGTATAAGAGCTTCCACTCGCAGAGGTTGGTGATTCAAGAGCCTATGCGCTTCGTTGACGAGAGTCTGATTATCTCGAGATAGTACTTATGGTCTCATCAGTTAGCTCCTGGTCTTTCCCTCTGAGTGACGACATGCTGTAATTTCTAACTGTAAGCTCCCACTGTCGGCATCGTTCCCATGGAGCCTTTTCTGATGTGCCATAGTGACTTTGCATTCTCTGCCTCCGCCGTTCAGAGCGGATAGCGTCTGACTGATATTCGTCGTCGTTTCGTCGACAGTCGTCAGCGCTGTTATGCCACCGGCTGCCAGAAGGCGATGTGCAGGTTCTTATCGCTACGTTGCCGCACCTGCCTCAATCCCATAACGGGCTGCGCACATTTTGATTATCCGATTGGCGACCAAGCCGATATGACGTGGATAATGGCAATACCATGAGGAACAAATGGTCAAGACCTTTACGGGAAGCTCGCTTGGTCTCCAAAGCTTCTTTTTCTCACCCGGGCTTGGAGCTGGCAAGCCAGAGTTACATAGATTCTGCGGCACAACAATTCGCAGAGGCTCTGTGATCACGTCAGTTAATAACAAATATTCCTCTTACTTAAAAGTGTTCTGGAGTTGTGCGAAAGGTCACATTGAGAATATCTTGCTGCCATGTAAGATTAGGCATCTACCTTCGTTCAAAGCGATCAGATTTGGGAACTCTTAACGGCCATTAGCTAGCTGAAATTCATCTGTGCAAGCGCTTTTAAACGGAATGGATGAAATTTTAACTTCCTTTCTCAATGAAATGTTAGTAATTATGCACGACGACTTTAATCGTATGCACGTCTCTCGATTGTGCACTTCTGATCTTATGAACGTAATCAACTTTAGCACACGTGATGATGGCCCCCTATCACAAATACTTTGACTTGGCTTTCGGCGGAAAGCTCTTCATCAATTGGATCTACTAATCACTCCATTATTGGTTCACTTCCATGCGCGTGCTCAAAACCTGGAAAACGCCTGCTGACCTCTCGGATTCACTGTTAATAAATGCACGACGCATGCACTGTTAACATCAACGTGCGTGCCACTTTTGCGCCGCTGATTG